TCTTCATCTATGTACTTCTCCTTGATCTGCTTCTTCTTCTTGTTCTTCCCCTTTTTCTTCTTCTCCTTATCTGCGCCCTCACCCTCTTCATCCGACTCATCCTCGTCCAGATCCTCCACGTCAGGCTGCTCATCACCCTTCTTCTCCTCCACCTCGGCATCCGCACCTTCTGCCTTCTCATCTTCCTTCATCTCCTAGTCGTCCGACACCTCCTTAGTCCTCTTCTTTTATATATATAACTTGTGCTTGCCACGTGGAAAAGCCTCGTGACTGTGAACACTATCTTCTAATTCAAATGTGCCTCTGGCAATTGCATGCAATTTTCATGAACATTAATTCTACTTGGCCTTTGGATGTTTCGTGGTTGGGTAGCTTAGCCAACATGCAATTCCATTTTGTCATTTTATTAACGAATCATTTGCATTCAACAAGTGCTGTGTTGTTTGCCAAATTGTAAATAATTCAAGTGAAAATTGGAGGCTGGGAGATAAGATTAAAATCATGTAGATTCGGTGTGGGGTAGCCATCAGCTGTAGTGCTTGCGTCTCCACAGCGATGGTCACAGCACAGGCGCCACTCACCCACGGATGTCTCGAAAAACAACAACGAGTGCTCTTTGCCGACGCACGAACCGCCTTAGGGGATTTGAGGGATGAAATTGAGGTCTACGTCTACCTGAATTCTCATGCATTGACATTAGTTTAGTTAATCAATAGTCTGCAACAGTATCTAGTCCGAATGACCTTGGATACCGAATTGGTCAGAATCAGAGGACATTGGTTAAGCAGATGCCCAGCATTCCTCATCTGTCAATCCTGACTTGACGTTAACAGTCAGATTTGTGCTTCGACGAGTGTGTTGAGGCCCTTTACCACACGAAGTAACTCACGAGGGAAATAAGTCTACAGATGACAGGCACGACCGTTTATAAGACAGCTTAACCGAGTTGTGGGTGCGTTTACTTGTACAGTTAAGTGGACATGCTTTTTTCATTAATACTACATTCAAGAAGGTTAATTTGCCACTACTAAACGATATCGTACCGTATTTATATTCATCAGTTTGAGTTGCAAAAATTGGTTTTGCGATAGCATAGAAAAAGAGGCACTGCATTGGCTTGTGGCATATTGATAAATCAGCCGCTCGATTGTTTGCACCACCACAAAACGGACGGAAATCCGACTGTATGGCATCAAACCAGACACCGACGTCTTCGTACAACTCGCTGAATACCAGCTCGTGGGAAGCAGCAAGCGAGCACAGTTAGCAGGCGTGAACGAAACTGACTCAATTGGTTAGCGTGAATGCACTTCAGGCAACTCGGTTCGTTCAAGGACCCATGTTTTGCGAAGCTATATCAGCGCACTTGTTATTCTGTACAAACACCAACGCTATTGCATCAATAAATTAGTTGAGCTACGCACCTTCTACATTTCCCACTCTTCTTTCGGTCAAGGCCGTGTCAGTGTAGATCGTCGGCCGTGGTGTAGTTCCCAAACCCACACCGGGGCCGCAACAATAAATGTTGACCAGGCTATCAACGCCTTTGGCCTCCTCCAAGCCACAAATTACCGTTTGATCAGATGGCCTATGAATCGCTCTTACTCCATTTATAAAACTCATGTTTGACCATTACTAAGCTCAACCCGACACACGATTCACTCCTGCGTGGTTTGAACCATTTACAGCCGACTATCGTCTGGTCCCTCTACATCTGATTTACTCGACTCTTCAGTTTCTGTCTCGTCCACCTCGGACAGCGGACGTAACTACAGCACACATTCGACTGATTGTTCAGAGGAAGAAAGACACGAAAACACTCGAGTCCCTGTGGCTTTGGCCGAGACACATAACTGTAGTCCAACCTCTTGGAAATGCGAACAACAGCGATGAAATGAGTGCTCATTTTCGGAATTTGGTTAGTTCCAAGGCAGAATGTGTGCTGGACCTGATAATCTCTGATTGACACAGTTTATGGAGCGGGTTCACGTAACTAGAGGATCATATGTTGTTGAAATGACTTTGACCGTCGACTCCATTGCATTAGTGATGTCCCGCCGCTTAGTCCAATCATGTGGGTCAACTCTGTGTTCTTGCAGTGTATTGAGAATAGCTGGATTGTGGGAACGCAGACACGGATAATAAACAGGCCACACCAAGATTGAATGGTTTCGGCTACTTTGGCGAATCCACAAACTGTCTATTAGCTAAAAGGGAATTCGAGCTTGTCATTTAAACAGCGAAGTTAAAAACAAGCTGCCAGCTCCCATTTTGATGCCTTATTTCCACCCAGTAGAGGCGAGTAATACTAAGTAGAAACTAAATGAAAACCATTAATATGTAAAATAACGGTTGATTATAGAACAGTGAAACTAATCTAACAGCTAAAAGGGTATCACGAAATACGTCGACTTTTGCGTAAGTCACCGTCATCCAGGTAAAGGGAACAAACTAATCCTGTTGCCTAAAGTAAGCCCCTCTGAAGTTGTACTCATCCTCTGTCAAAGCTACATTGCACACACGATACACCAAGTGGTATGAATTGTCATTAAACGATGTGATTTTTCAAAGTGAACTCCATACAACTGGAAGCATTAGAAGTAGGCTGAGAAGAAAAAATACGGTGGAAAATCGGCTGTTTATTTAGCTTGTGCATTTGTACTTCTGAAGCGTAAACTGCTTTCTTCATTTGTGTGCCAATGGTAAGGTTGATTAGCATAAAAGTTTACCAAAAATTGACTTTTATTGATAAACATCAGAGATAAAGTGGGCAAGACATGATGCTGTCGCACTATGGCACAACAGCGGGGTCAGCAAGAGTGACGAATCAAAATTTGTCATCTTTTGGTTTTAATCCATCATGGCAATCTGCAGGCAAGCATTTCAACTAGATGGGATTTGACAGTGAGTCAAACCATACGAATTCACTTCACAAAGCAAGGTTCAGTGTCAAAAATTCTTATTTAAAATGTCATCTTGTCGTGCTAAACTGGTGTGCTCCTGCTATTAGTTTATTTCCATTACTACGTTTGGTAATCTGTGCTGTACCGTAGCACACCAAATTGGTTATCCAAAGATTGAACAATACCATCAACAGTCTGCATTTTGTCTGAACTTCCATAATTTATCTTAGTTTGGGAAATGCGATTTTGTGGAGCCAACATTATCAGCAATCATGCAATTTATTCTATGTTAGTATTTGTTATGAATAGCCAACGTATTATTAAATAAGCTGCTTTATTTTTACATGGGTTCAAATCCGTTCCGTTTTTATATCATACCCTTTGCTTTTTTGGATGATGTTTTCGTCTTATGTCACATTATATTTGCGGCTTATCAAAACGGTCGTCTGTATTGTCAAAATTTTGTTGCAATTTAATCCTTTTGTATTCAAAATGATTATTTTGCCAATTATACAAAAATATCTTTTCCATTAATTAAAATCAGATGCTTCCTTAAATTATAAAACCTGTCGAATCTCTCTTCAGACACTTCTGTTCCTGGACAGCAGTTGTAAAGTTTTAAACATTTTTATAAACTAAATATTTATCTTAACTTTAGCTCTTGAGATGAAATATTGGAAATGCATTCGTCTGTTGCTGTTAACCAAGTAGTCCAACATTTACCTATGAAATCGCATGGCTTGATGAATTGCTCCATGTTATTTAAGTTACTCCACAATAATGCCAAGGATATGTAAATCTGCTTTAAATATAATACTGTGATTGATAAAAACAAAATACGTCGTTTATCGAAATAGTTTCAAATTCCTTATAGCAAGAGATTTATTTGACTCAACCAATAGGATTAAAGCTAGTGAAGTGTTCACGTCCTTTGTACGAAGTAGCCAGAATAACTGCTAAAAATATCCTGCGTGATGCTTCCTGCCGCAAAAGGTAGTATTTGAATAAACCAATTTCATTATCGTATTTTATGACTGCCTAATGCTTTAATCACATTTAGCCCGGGAATGGCAGCAGTTACAGTCGAAGAAGTATGCTGATAAACGGAAGTTTGGTTTCGTGGATGCCCAGAAGGAGGACATGCCTCCAGAGCATATTCGCAAAATAGTCCGAGATCATGGCGACATGACTAATCGAAAATTTCGTCACGACAAGAGAGTTTATTTGGGAGCTCTTAAGTACATGCCACATGCAATATTGAAGCTTCTGGAGAACATGCCAATGCCCTGGGAGCAAATACGAGATGTTAAGGTAATCTGAATAAATGCCTTCATAATATGGCATTAGGTCCTTTACCACATCACGGGTGCCATCACCTTCGTGAACGAGATACCTTGGGTCGTTGAGCCCATCTACATTGCTCAATGGAGTTCAATGTGGATCATGATGCGTCGTGAAAAGCGGGACCGTCGCCATTTTAAACGAATGAGGTTCCCCCCTTTTGACGACGAAGAACCTCCGCTTGATTACGCGGATAATATCTTGGATGTGGAGCCCCTTGAACCCATACAAATGGACCTTGATCCAGAAGAGGACGGGGCAATTGCCGAATGGTTCTATGACCGAAATCCTCTTGCTGAGACTCCGTGAGTTAAATGTCATTGAAGCAACCATCTCCTTACATAATAGCAGTCTGCTTGCAGTCACCATTGGCAAGCGTTACGTGGTTACTTTTAAAAGTACGAGTGGCTTGCTCAATTAACCATTTTTTATTCGTGATGTAGATGCTCTTACAAATTTATGCTTATCAGAGTAAAATAGCAAGGTTTCTGGTCATCCACAGTTGTTAGTGCTATCTAGAAACTTCATCCACGTCTATTGTCCTAAAGTTGAACTATTTTAGAGCACACGTAATTACGTTTTTTGATTCACTTCCTAAGGCACGTCAATGGTATCACCTATCGACGTTGGAATTTGCCGCTGCCGATAATGTCGAATCTGTACCGTCTTGCCAACTGTCTTTTGACGGATCTTGTTGATGACAATTACTTTTACCTGTTCGACCTCAAGTCCTTCTTTACGGCAAAAGCCCTTAACGTAGCACTGCCAGGTGGTCCGAAGTTTGAACCTCTGGTAAAGGACAAGAATCTCGAGTAGGTTTTTCCCATTTACTGACTATATCCTTTAGTGACGAGGACTGGAACGAATTCAATGATATTAATAAAATCATAATCCGTCAGCCAATTCGCACGGAATATCGCATCGCATTTCCATACTTATACAATAGCTACCCTTTCCAAGTTCACCTTTCCTGGTATCACACCCCTAATGTACTTTTCATCAAAACGGAGGACCCTGATCTTCCGGCATTTTACTTTGATCCTCTCATCAACCCAATTTCACAGCGCCATGCTGTGAAGGTATGTTTGCTTTGGTAACGCTTTTCAAGTAAAAATTCAGGTTCCAGAGGCCCATGTGCCAGACATTGCTGAGGATGAGGAGGAATTTTGTCTACCAGAATATTACAGGCCCTTTATGTCTGACGTTCCTTTGTATACAGACAATACAGCTAATGGCATCGGATTGCTGTGGGCCCCTAGACCGTTCAATCTTCGATCAGGAAGCACTCGACGAGCCATTGATGTTCCATTGGTCCAAACGTGGTACCGAGAGCACTGCCCCTCCGGCATGCCTGTTAAAGTATGTCTTTAGGATTTGCGTTACAAAAACTCTTTAGGTGCGTGTCTCCTACCAGAAGCTGCTCAAGTATTTTGTGCTCAACGCCCTGCACCATCGAAAACCCAAGCCACAGCGTAAGCGATATCTCTTCCGCTCGTTCAAAGCAACAAAGTTCTTCCAAGCCACGACGTTAGATTGGGTTGAGGTTGGTCTTCAGGTTTGTCGGCAGGGCTACAACATGCTTAACCTCCTTATCCATCGGAAGAATCTCAATTACCTTCACCTTGACTACAACTTCAACCTGAAGCCAGTGAAGACGCTGACGACGAAGGAGCGTAAGAAGTCACGTTTCGGAAATGCTTTTCATCTCTGCCGTGAGATCCTTCGCCTAACCAAACTCGTGGTTGACAGCCACGTCCAGTATCGTCTTGGCAATGTTGATGCCTACCAGGTACGATGATATCGCAGGGGTCCAGAAGGTAGTTGACATGTGAACTACCCAGCTCCCTGGTTGGTGGCTCTAACGCACCTCTTAGGGTCTGTGATACCGCTCTTTCTGACATGCCTGTTCAACTATTTGTAGCTCGCTGATGGTTTGCAGTACATATTCTCGCACGTGGGTCAACTTACTGGGATGTACCGCTACAAGTACAAGCTCATGAGGCAGATTCGAATGTGCAAGGATCTCAAACACCTGATCTACTATCGATTTAACACGGGTCCCGTGGGCAAAGGCCCTGGAGTCGGGATGTGGGCGCCAGCCTGGCGAGTGTGGCTCTTCTTCATGCGTGGAATCACTCCGCTCCTCGAACGCTGGCTCGGTAACCTTCTGTCGCGTCAATTCGAGGGCCGTCACTCCAAGGGTGTGGCCAAGACGGTAACCAAACAGCGCGTTGAATCCCACTACGACCTGGAATTGCGTGCAGCTGTGATGCACGACATTATCGACATGATGCCGGAGGGCATCAAGCAGAACAAAGCCCGAACTATTTTGCAACACTTGAGCGAAGCCTGGCGATGCTGGAAGGCGAACGTACCCTGGAAGGTAAGGTACCGTTTGGTAGCTTCACTCTTTGTGCTCATAGGTTCCGAACATGCCTATTCCGATTGAAAACATGATTCTGCGCTATGTGAAGGCCAAGGCAGACTGGTGGACGAATACGGCTCACTACAATCGCGAGCGTATTCGCCGCGGCGCTACAGTCGACAAGACCGTGTGCAAGAAGAACCTTGGTCGTCTCACACGTCTTTACTTGAAGGGGGAGCAGGAACGGCAGCACAATTACCTTAAAGACGGTCCCTACGTCACGCCAGAGGAGGCTGTTGCCATCTACACCACTACGGTGCACTGGCTTGAGAGTCGTCGTTTCTCACCCATCCCATTCCCTCCGCTGAGCTACAAACACGACACCAAGCTGCTCATTCTTGCACTTGAGCGACTTCGGGAGTCCTATAGTGTGAAGAACCGGTTGAACCAATCGCAGCGTGAGGAGTTAGGTTTAATTGAACAGGCCTACGACAATCCACACGAGGCACTGAGTCGAATCAAGCGGCATCTGCTCACTCAGCGTGCATTCAAGGAGGTTGGAATTGAGTTCATGGACTTGTACAGCCACCTTGTGCCCGTGTATGATGTGGAGCCTCTCGAAAAGATTACGGACGCCTACCTGGACCAGTATTTGTGGTACGAGGCCGACAAGCGAAGACTGTTTCCTCCGTGGATCAAACCCGCTGACTCCGAACCACCACCACTTTTGGTCTACAAGTGGTGCCAGGGCATCAATAATCTTAAAGTAAGCTCCATTACTGGGATTTGGGGATGAGTGCGATTGGCTAGACGTGGATCTAACGAATGTTTTGTCTTGAAGGATGTGTGGGAGACGGCTGAAGGTGAGTGCAACGTGCTGCTGGAGACGCGCTTCGAGAAGGTCTACGAGAAGGTTGACCTAACCCTGCTCAACCGTCTGCTGCGCCTCATCGTCGACCACAACATCGCAGACTACATGACCGCGAAAAACAACGTCGTGATCAACTACAAGGACATGAACCACACCAACAGCTACGGCATTATTCGCGGCCTCCAGTTCGCCTCCTTCATCATGCAGTACTACGGTCTCGTTCTGGACCTCCTAGTTGTTGGTCTTGAGCGCTCTTCTGAGATGGCCGGTCCGCCACAGATGCCCAACGACTTCTTGCAGTATCAGGTAGGTTTTGTTAGCCCTCAGAAAGACCTTAACGCTTCTTCAGAATGCTTGTCTGGCTCTGATAATCAAAGACCATAATTTCGTGGCTTTGTCCGGTTTCTCTAAGTCCGCGGAACTCCTTATCGCGTTCAATTGCGGTTGTCTGAATGTTGTCTTTTTTTGTGCCATCGTTGTAGGACACAGCAACAGAGATTGCGCACCCAATTCGCCTGTACACGCGCTACGTGGACCGTTTGTGGATGTTTCTGCGTTTCACCGCCGAGGAGGCACGTGACTTGATCCAGCGCTACCTCACGGAGCACCCAGATCCAAACAACGAGAACATCGTCGGCTACAACAATAAGAAGTGCTGGCCCAGAGACTCGCGTATGCGCCTGATGAAACACGACGTGAACCTCGGCCGAGCCGTCTTCTGGGACATCAAGAATCGCCTTCCTCGCTCCGTGACAACGATCGACTGGGAGAGCTCGTTTGTCTCCGTGTACTCGAAGGATAACCCGAATTTGCTCTTCGCCATGTGTGGCTTTGAGTGCCGTATCCGTCCAGCGTGTCGCGCCCCCAGCCAAGCCTCCGAAATCAACCTGCCCGGTGGTGTGTGGCACTTACAGAATGAGGTTCGTGATCGGGGAGGTCTAATTGGTTGTGCGCGTTCTCGTGGTTTCCAAACAAGTGTTGAGTGTATTCTTCATGGCATTGTCTGTTGGTTTTCCACGTAGGTGACGAAAGAACGCACAGCGCAGTGCTTCCTCCGCGTGGACGACGAGTCGATGCAGCGTTTCCACAACCGCGTTCGCCAGATCCTCATGGCCTCGGGTTCGACTACTTTCACGAAAATCGTGAACAAGTGGAACACAGCACTTATCGGTCTCATGACCTACTTCCGCGAGGCCGCCAGTTCCACAGTGCCGCTCCTCGACCTGCTCGTCAAGTGCGAGAACAAAATCCAGACTCGCATCAAAATCGGCCTCAACTCCAAGATGCCCGCCCGTTTTCCGCCTGTCGTCTTCTACACACCTAAGGTAACTTTCACTTTTGGTGTCAGTTTAAAGCAATGACGACTAGCCAACCACACGAGGTCCAGCGGTCGCGTGACGTTGAAATTGAAACCCTTTTTTCCATTTGAACTCTAGGAGTTGGGTGGTCTTGGGATGCTGAGCATGGGTCACGTGCTGATTCCGCAGTCGGACTTGCGTTGGTCCAAGCAAACGGATGTCGGCATCACTCACTTCCGTTCCGGTATGAGTCATGACGAGGACCAGGTCATTCCCACCCTCTTCTCCTACATCCAGACCTGGGAGACTGAGTTCCGCGACTCCCAATCCGTCTGGGCGGAATACGCGCTCAAGAGGCAGGAGGCGAACGCCCAAAACAGGTCACTTTCTGTTCTCCCCTGAGTTCTGTTTCGTAATTTTGCCACCTATCTCCCGAGTTTACTTGGCCTTAAAGCGACCGGGAAGATTGAGACGATCAACACGACGGAGGCACAACCGTTTTTCAGTCAGAAATACGCAATTTCGATCCCTCTGATGCTTCTTTCGTAGTCACATTCCTAAAGTGTGAATCACTCCATCCAGTGGAGGTGTTTTTATGCGGCTGTTGGAGGAATGGGGAGTCAGCAACTCACCTGATTTAATGTTAAATTCCACGCAGAACGTGCAAAGTTGGTGAATTAAAGATACACCATATTTCCCCATGACAGCGCTAGACAACGTCAGAAACTACCTTACGATTTTCTTGCTGTTTCACCAAACAACGAAGTAAAAAGGCTGTAAATCGAAGAGCACCAGTTATCGATAATAAGAATGCGCTGAATCTAACTTTGTTTCATATCAATCAAACACATGAGCATTCACTCGAATAATGCCTACTCAACGCGATCTGCCTCAGTCTCACGCGTTCGATCCGTGTCAATTGCCAATTATTGTGTCTAGTTAGTCCGACGACAAAATCTGCCTGTTGTGGCATTCAGTAGATCGCGATTTATGTCAATCTTCACCGTGTTCTATTCTTACATCTTGTTGTACGGGTGTTGGTGGTCGGCAATTTCATGATTTTTTTTATTGCAGGCGTCTGACATTGGAGGACCTCGAGGACAGCTGGGATCGCGGTATACCACGGATCAACACCCTCTTCCAGAAGGATCGGCACACCCTGGCCTACGACAAGGGTTGGCGCGTGCGCACCGAGTTCAAGCAGTACCAAGTGCTCAAACAGAATCCCTTCTGGTGGACGCATCAGCGTCACGACGGCAAGCTCTGGAACCTCAACAACTACCGAACGGACATGATCCAGGCGCTCGGTGGTGTTGAAGGCATCCTTGAACACACGCTCTTCAAGGGCACCTACTTCCCAACCTGGGAAGGTCTGTTCTGGTGAGTCCACCTGCCATAGGCTCGTATTGTTTGACTTTGCCGTGGCAAGCTTCTCAAGGTTCTGCTTTTTTGCTTCATAGGGAGAAGGCGAGCGGCTTTGAGGAGTCGATGAAGTACAAGAAATTGACCAATGCCCAGAGGTCTGGTCTTAATCAGATTCCTAATCGTCGTTTCACCTTGTGGTGGTCACCGACAATTAATCGTGCTAACGTAAGTCCTCATTCGTGCACCGAACACTTGCACAGTCAACTTTTCGATCACCTAAATGTTGGTTTTCAACCGATGTCTCTCTCCTTCCCCGTGCAGGTGTATGTTGGTTTCCAAGTGCAGCTGGACTTGACAGGCATCTTCATGCACGGCAAAATTCCCACCCTGAAAATCTCCCTGATCCAGATTTTCCGAGCTCACTTGTGGCAAAAGATCCACGAGTCTGTTGTGATGGATCTGTGTCAGGTCTTTGACCAGGAGCTCGACGCCCTCGAAATAGAGACTGTCCAGAAGGAGACCATTCACCCGCGCAAGTCCTACAAAATGAACTCCAGCTGCGCCGACATCCTCCTCTTCGCCTCCTACAAGTGGCCCGTCTCCAGACCCAGTTTGTTGGCTGATTCAAAGTGAGTCTGTTCAACATCTTCTGTTCTCTGGGTGGATGTTGTCTGAGAAATGTGTCGTTGAAAGTCGTATGCGCTTTGCCGGAGTGCCCTAACCCCACTTTCTTCACATTTCAGAGACGTGATGGACGGTACAACAACACAGAAGTACTGGATCGACGTGCAGTTGCGTTGGGGTGACTACGACTCCCACGACGTGGAACGTTACTGTCGAGCCAAGTTCCTCGACTACACCACCGACACCATGTCCATCTACCCCTCACCCACTGGTGTCATGATTGCCATCGACCTTGCCTACAACCTCCACAGGTACTGGTCTAGTTTATCATTGTCGAGTCGTCGGTTGACGTAGGCCGTTGTTAACTGTTCCGTTCGGTTTTGCTATTTCAGCGCCTATGGCAACTGGTTCCCCGGATGCAAGCCCCTCATTCAACAGGCCATGCTGAAAATCATGAAGGCGAACCCGGCCTTGTATGTGCTGCGCGAACGCATTCGCAAGGCCCTACAGCTGTATTCCAGTGAGCCCACTGAACCGTACCTCAGTTCGCAGAACTACAACGAGCTCTTTTCCAACCAGACCATCTGGTTCGTGGATGACACCAACGTCTACCGCGTCACCATCCACAAGGTAAGTTGGCGTGCATCGGCTGCGTGTCCACTTCAAGCGCTTCGACGCCTCTAGCCAGCCTGACTTGCATTTCAGACATTTGAGGGTAACCTCACCACGAAGCCGATAAACGGTGCCATCTTCATCTTCAATCCGCGCACAGGTCAGCTCTTCCTCAAGATCATCCACACCTCTGTGTGGGCGGGTCAAAAGCGTCTTGGGCAGCTGGCCAAGTGGAAGACGGCTGAAGAAGTGGCGGCTCTCATTCGGTCCCTGCCCGTCGAGGAACAGCCCAAACAAATCATCGTCACTCGCAAGGGCATGCTTGATCCCCTGGAGGTGCATCTTCTCGACTTCCCCAACATTGTCATCAAGGTGAGCTTTTTTATTGGTCTATCAATCTACCGGCAGCCATGTTCTCTACTGGTTTTGATTGGCGGTTAAACGAAGTACTTTGTGCGTTGGTCTAGGGTTCGGAATTGCAGCTGCCTTTCCAGGCCTGCCTGAAGGTGGAGAAGTTCGGTGACCTGATTTTGAAGGCGACAGAGCCACAAATGGTGCTCTTCAACCTCTACGACGACTGGCTCAAGTCGATTAGCTCGTACACCGCCTTCTCGCGTCTAATTCTCATCCTGCGTGCTCTCCACGTGAACAACGACAAGGCGAAGGTCACTCTGAAGCCGGACAAGACCACGATCACCGAGCCTCATCATATCTGGCCGACGCTCACCCCTGAGGAGTGGATCAAGGTGGAGTACCAGCTCAAGGATCTCATCCTTGCTGACTACGGCAAAAAGAACAAGTAGGTTGTCTGCTTACCATTGTCTAGACTATTTTTTGGCACTAGTTGTCAGTGTCGACTTGACACAATAATTCCCTTCCTTCCAGTGTCAACGTGGCCTCGTTGACGCAGTCGGAGATTCGTGATATCATCCTCGGCATGGAGATATCGGCACCATCACAACAGCGTCAGCAGATCGCGGAGATCGAGAAGGCTGCAAAGGACCAAGCCCAGCTCACCGCGACGACCACGAAGACTGTGAACAAGCACGGCGAGGAGATCATCTCCACGACTACCTCCAACTACGAGAAACAGCATTTCAGCAGCAAGACCGAGTGGCGAGTACGTGCCATCTCTGCGACCAACCTCTACCTCCGCACCAACAACATCTACGTCAGCTCGGACGACATCAAGGAGAATGGGTACACGTACATTCTGCCGAAGAATGTCCTCAAGAAGTTTATCACCATTTCTGATCTTAGGGCCCAGGTAAGTTCGATTACTCACCTTGTTTGTGTCACGGTTTCAGCCCACTCTCGATCGACTCCATTACCGTCTTTGCCCTTGTTGTAGATCTGCGGCTACCTCTACGGCATCTCACCTCCAGACAACAATCAGATTAAGGAGATCCGATGCATAGTGATGCCTCCGCAGTGGGGTACCCACCAGACGGTTCACGTGCCCGAAGGTCTTCCACAGGACGAGTACCTTCGTGAAATGGAACCTCTTGGGTGGATCCACACGCAGCCCAACGAGCTGCCACAGCTCTCGCCCCAGGATGTGACGACGCACGCCAAACTCTTTGCTGAACACGACGGCGAGCGGACGATAGTGATTACGTGCAGTTTCACGCCGGGTTCGGTGTCGCTGTGTGCCTACAAGCTGACCCCAGGCGGTTACGAGTGGGGTCGGCAGAACACGGACAAGGGCAACAACCCCAAGGGGTACTTGCCAAGCCACTACGAGCGCGTCCAAATGCTCCTCTCCGATCGATTCCTCGGCTTCTTCATGGTGCCCGCTCAGGGCTCGTGGAATTACAACTTCATGGGTGTTCGCCACAATCCCAACATGAAGTACGAACTGCAGCCGCTGAAGCCGAAGAAGTTCTACCACCGCATCCACCGACCCTCGCACTTCCTCGACTTCACGAACGTCGAGGAGAGCGAGTCGTACTCAGCCGATCGCGAGAACCCCCTGGGCTAGGGCATTTCCCCCGCACATTTTATACACACACCTCCGTTTGTACACAGGGCACTCTGTTTTCTTGCAGCGCGGACATATTTCTCACCACCTCGTCAAATTGTGCTGTTTTTTTCTGACTGTTCATATGTGTGCGAGAGATAATTGCTGTTGTATTGCCGCTGCCACCCCGACTTTATTATTACGCTTTTGCCTCCTCATTTGCGTCGGTTTTTTTTGGATTTACGCCTCCGTTTTTAGGACGGTGATGATGCTCAGATGGCGTTTCGCTACTTATGTCTAAGTAGTAGGCCATTTGTGGATAGATTGCGACGTATGTAGTGTGATAAAATGCGTTTCGGTGTGTGCAACCAAATCCTTTGAAGCGTGCGAGAGTAATCCCAATGAGATTGGACCCAAGTCATCTATCTCAGCATGACGGGCGTGTATCGAATCATCCTGCTTTGGCACTATTGGGAGATCTATTCCAAGGCACTATTCATGTAGCTGTAAAGGTGGTGATGTGTGCGTGTTAGCACCGCCTAAACAGCAACTACCAGCCTTATTAACATGCGGAAATCGAATAATTCACGGCAGGAAGAGTTTTGGAGCACAATAAAAGCCAAAATGACCAGATTGGTGGGAAGACATTCGGGGTCTGTGATTGGTTGGTTTGCGTGGAGCACGTGTAGACCATGAATCCGGTGCGGAGACATCCAACGAAGCCGGAGATAGAAATTCCCCGGTTTCTAGGTGATTCTGCGAAATCCTAGATTCGGTGTGCCAATGGTTGTCGAATGAGGAATTAGAGGAATTGATTCTGAGGTTCCGCCAGGTAGGTCGCAGACGTACAAGCACTGGCGGCAGTCACGCGTCTACTGCTTGGCATTCTGCACTTCAATGTTAGGGGTTAAGATGAAGAAGCATTTGGTCTCAAACTGCGAAGGCACAAAGGCTAAGCTACGCTTGACCGCGTTTCATTAACCTGAAATGGTCAACAAGTAACAAATCGGGTGTGTGTCGAGGTGTTAATTTGATCGGATTAATTGGCGCATTAATTCACACCACAAAAATCTTGAATTACACGGTGTTGCAAGACCTCTCAACTATGTCATGAGACTAAAAATTATCAGCTCTCACGTCGGCCTTTTTCGAGGTGTGAAATAGCGCGAATTCGTGGGCAAAAGATTTTACTTTTTCGTAATCGTTTCTATTTGCATTTTTGGTCCACTCCATCCTTGACGCATTTTTTACAAGGTTAAGTCTTCCTAGAGCGCGCCTTTAATCGTCTGCTGATGAACCTAAGAACAGACACTAAAATTTGTGTTTAAGGTGACTGCAAATTCGCTTATTCGTTTAAATTTTCTAATTTATAATTACCTAAAATACCCTTTCTAATCAATCCTGCGCATTTTCGAGTCTTGCCTCTTCTATCATTTCAAAGAAACTGGCTTTTAAACTTGGCGCCCCATGGTGAGGTGTGAGGGAAAGTTGTGCTAACAAAGCCAAGACCGAAGGAGAGCCAGGATGACTGAATTGTCGATTAGTGCGAGGGGCAGTCCTTCTGCATTACACCTAGTATAGTTTAAGTTGATGGTGAAATCGTGGAGCTAGTGGTGAAACATTCTAAGAGAGACTTGATTCGAAATGCGGGCGAAGGTTGCTGCAGATTTTGGTTGGCTTTGGGCGAATCCTTGGTCGTTGTTTGTCCCATGCATGAGGAAGCAGTTAGCACTTCTAACAGACCATTGTGAAATAATCAAACGCCAGCACAACGTGAAGTTTGTAAAGCTGTCCGTGGGGACTCATTTGCACCCCGAAAATACTGGTAATCATGTAGTAGCTCGAGGCCTAGCACTACCTTACAGCCCTCTAATTAACAGCCTGTAACTACCCAGGGAAATGGGGAAAAGCGACTAAACAATCCATTAAGCCCGATGTACACAGTAAAATGCAACTGATGAAAGACTGCAACGTAGATATCCAAAATCGTGACATAGCTATCTGTGAGGATTATTCTCGACAAAAAATGTTCCCCTGCAGTAGAGTATCCAAGTTTGGATACGCTTTTGATCAGTCGCTAGCGTCACTATCATAAAAATTACTAATCGTGAAGAAGGTATGGATTCGCCTCCAAGAATAACACTAGCCTGTCACCACCCAGCAGCTGGTCACCAGTCACCCTCCCCGTTGAGATGCGTCGGGGGGTTTACTAAGCAACGTGAGCCAATCAAATTAGTGCGGTAGTTGGGGGTTGGGTAACCTGGCTGATTAATTGGTTAGCATCGAGAGAGCTCTTTGGCTATATAAACGAGGCGAATTTACACTTTACTTGACCAGTCCATTCAACAATTGGTTCGTCATGTGCATGGTGCAGTGATAATTCCATTCCCACGTACAAGCAGGAATGTCTTCGGCTTCAAGTGGTTCCAGCTGATCTCAAAACAGGTAAGCGATACCGTGTTTGTGACATTTTATTCCTGACACTGCTAAATGTCCCATTTACGAAGCTTTTGTTGTATTAGTTCAAATGGCCATTCCAGTCTCATGGTCACGACCTGCAATGGGTTAACGGAAATCGCATACGATCGCCACTATCAAAAAAGTAGCCCCAGAAGACGCACATTTTGCTTAAAATTTGGTAACAGACCTCATGGAATCACGCCAGGTGTATCAAAGTAACTTCGTCCCACAGACGAAATGTTACTGATCTTGCAGTAAAATAAGCACTACTAGTTTAGAATTTTCTTGCTTGAATTCAACTTGCAAAGAGCCAAATGTTGCCTGAGTTAAAATACAGGGTAACCTTGGACTGAGTTAATTATGATTTGCTCTATAATTGCGTGGCTATTCACAGGATGATCTGTGAAACAGTATATTTGTCTAGAGTGGATCGCATGCTTTCGAGCCTCGTGGAGATTCCAGCGAGGGGAAGTGTAGTTGACTTCGTTCTCATCTTTCGTGAATCTTGCGGGGAGTGCTTAAACATTGTCTTCCTGTATCATGGCTTCCGAATTGCGGGGAATACATGCCAGGTCTTTTGTTCATCCTGCATCACCAATTTCACAAATTCACTTGAAGCAAATTGATTTCAGGCATCCAACAAGCTGCCTCTCATCACACTGGGATACTTGACAACAGCAGCAGCAGCATCGCTCCTTAATCACTCATTGCCATTGGATCTGCCTGCGGTTGCCATCACCAAAGACGAGTAGACCGACCCCGACGGACCAACTGCCCCGTCCACTGCCTTTCCACTAACCCTCCATCTTCAGTCCAGAATCAGGAAATGGGATTTCGGATTACAAGTATTTGCTAATGTCGTTTAAATGAACAACGTTCTGAGACTCCAATGCCAAAACTAAGCTTTTTCACAAAATCTGAATCGTGCTTAGCCTTTTTTCACCGACAATCTCATTGAATGACTTCGATTGTCTACTTCGACGCGGTTACCATCATTGGGCAGATTCTGTAGAGGTCCTTTGCACCATCAGCTGGAACAGCATCTCTCTTTACCTGGTTTGATGTTTTTTTTTTAGATTTGACAAGGATAAGATACTACCTGTTTCTCCGAAAACTAGCAGGTCCTCGCAGATTTGATTAAAATGCCTGAAAAATGGCAAATGTTTTGTCTAAGTTCAGCTTCCCTCATGCGTCGGCCAGGTAAGCAAGGGTTTGATTTACGCGCATGAATATACTCAGCCCATCATAAATGCACGTTTGACTGGTTAATCCATGCTTTTAGTGAGATTGTCTCTTGACTGATTAAGCCACACAACCTA